ATCTGGCGCAATTTCAAAGTCGAGTTTCAAAGTCATCAACGCAATCAGCGTCATAGTACCAGTAGTCGCAAACCACCGTGCAGGACAGACATGAGGTGCCACGCCCCAAATGGGAAAGGAGTGAGGTGCCAAGTCCCCTGGAGAGGCTACGCCCGGCGCATCAGGCTTCTTCTTCATCTTTATGAACCGGTAGGCATCAAAGGAGGTAGCGTCTGGACCCCACGTTTCCTCGTTGCGGAGGATTGGAATGCCGTTGATCTGGACATAGTTGCCGCTTTTGAGGAGCTGAGTCTTATCGTCTACAGTGATTGTCGTGTCGCGAAGAACCTCTCGAATGTGTGCGTGGATGGTGTGCAGGCGTTGCGCCTCCTGAATCGAGGACAGTAGTAGCGGACATGCCGACTTGATGACGGAGATGTCCAAGCTGAACTCGCCATTTTCGTCCTTCTTGACTGCCTTGCGTACTTCATCGCGGATCGCATCGATAAGCCACGGGCGAGAGAACACCTCAAAGACGGACCACCACGTTGTTGGGACGTAGTTGGCCAGCATAGCAATGTCAAAGCCAATATTGATACGCCCAATATCGCGCGGCGATACTCCGTTTTCGGCCATAATCCGTGATCGACCCTTTAGAAGGCCTGAGGCTGTCTCTGTGCCCCCGAGGCGAACATATTCTTCGTACCGTAGACCGTTACGTTCCCGAGCTTGCATTGCCTTTTTCGCAAACAGCTCTGCAATGATACCTCCCGGAAGAAGCAAGTGTGCCTTATCAGCGAAGGTCCTATAGATTGTCAGCTTCTCATCTAGAACTCAGTCCCCTCACACGAAGTCGTCAAGGGCTATCAGAAAGTAGGTACCAAAAGTCAGCCTCATGATCAGGATTCTTGAAGGGGTTCAGGGGGCCGAACATCCCTTCCGTAGCTGATAGCCCAACGGTATGCTTCACCCAGGCGAATAGATCAATCGGAACACCTGTTTCGGGTGATTCGAGGGCATTTGCGGCTAATTTGTCAACAATTTCGAGTTTCACCTGGGTTGCAACAAGGCTCATGTCATCGAGTTCGGGACCAGCTGCGAGCGTCGTGCGCTGGACTCTATCGAATTCCTTGGCCTCGGGGCCACCTCCTAGGTGATCTTGCAAGTTGGTGGCCTTATCATCGGCACCGCTAAAGTTGTGTGCCGCCTTGGCTGCAAAGGGCGCAAAAGAGATTGTCCTCGCATTGCGCTGGATCGACGAGATGAATTTGCGTTCTGCGATAATGTAGAATTTGAAGGAGAAGATGGGTGCAGAAAAGATCTTTGACTTGGCGTCGGCCCTGTCGTATCATGTCAGCCATAGGATCACTTAATCCTGAAATCAAACAAGCGTGAACTTACCCAACCTTGGTAAAGTAGTTGCCAGAACCGTACTTGTTCAGACCAAGAAGATGACCAATCAATGGTATGCGAGGTCTGATGTACTCTGGCTCTTGCGGATTTTTGGAGAGGAAGATGAAGGACTCGAGCAAATAACAGCCGATGACGACAACCGCGAAGGCCGTGCCGACCAGCGCAGGGAGCTCCATTTTGCAATGTTCTAGCCGTAAGATCTGTCGCGAAGAGAATGAGAAACACCAGAAAGCCAATAGGGACAATCGGGGTCATATATCAAAACCGTTGACCTGCCGCAGATCCTTCAAGGGGCCATTCGTAATCGTATTGGGAGTTCGGCAGTCGGCTGTCAGCATCCTAAACCCTGTCAGGCATCGAGGATGCTCATTGATATCCCACTGGAACGTCTACACGAAAGCTGCATTTAGTTACTCCACAAAGCAGGGGTTGCGCTAGTTCGATTACGGGGCTGCTATAGACTAAGGAACCAGCCGAAATCAGTAATTGCGTAGGATTGATTGGCTTGATGGACCGCCAGTCTAATGTCTCACGTCAGAACTTTCGAAATGACTGAATCCCCTTAACAGGCAACTGATATGGTTTGAATCAAAATCCGGATTCGCACATAATTCTGTAGCCACATGAGTGACTTGCCGTAAGTGCGTGTCTTGATGGTCGTCGAGTACTCGAGTCGAACACTAAGACTGCAATGCACAGGCCCTTCGGGACATTTCGCTTATAGACGATGTGACTCTTAAACTTCCGTCACGGTTTCCGCGGTTTCCACGGGCTGTTTTTTAGTTTCGCAGCAGTAACCACTGGCCGCAGCCCCAGCAAATTGTGTAGCTCGTAATCCATGTGAACCCAAGTAAGCTTGCGTCTTGCATCACCCTAATTATATGGTCACCTATAAGATACTAACCCATCATTTAGGTATTAGAACAAGATATGACTGGAAGATAGGAATTTCAACTATCGATGTCTAGCTACCACCTGCCTCTCTGCGTAATCTTCAACCAGAAGTCATGCGTTATCCAAAATCCAGCACTCCACAATCTCATCGGCTTTTCAGGCTTTGCAATAGCAAAATCGTACCTGCGCAGAAGCTGCAGGTAAAGACGTCAGCAAAAGGTTTGATACAATAAAGAAAAAAATAGGACCTTACCTCAACGAAGATCTTGTTCAACTCCATCAACGCAATATTTCTCCCCATGCAATAAAACTTGCCATACCCAAAGACCATGTCGGTAGTTGACATCATCGCCTTATATCTTCCTTCGTCATCGGACATTGCTGCCTCTATCCACCTCTCTGGCCTGAACAGATGTGCGTCAGGTCCAAAAATGTCCTTCGATCGGCCGATGCTGCACACGTTCTCTCCCAGTTGTGTATTAGGGGGCAACCGATATCCATGGACGATGTCTCCTTCTGATGGGACCTGCTTGCTGACGATGCCAGTAGACGGTGGGTATAGACGGAGACCTTCGCGGATTACAGCTTGAAGATATGGCATGAATCTCGCTTCCGAATCTTTGATCGGAGAGCTAATCATCTTCTTCGAGACTAGTGTATCAATCTCGGCTCGGAGGGCTGTGAAGGCTTGCGGGTTGGATAGGAGTGACAAGAGAATCATACGGATCGCCGTTGCTGTGGTATCGGAACCAGCAATGCTATGGAAAGTCAGCTTCTGAACCTCAACTGATCAAGCCCTTCATGTGAAGACAGCACTCACGTTTCAACGTAAACTTCCTGTGTAAGCTCTTCTCTTGTCATACCAGCATTTATAAATGACTGGATCATGTCCCGGCCGGGCTTCGTATCCGGAGCCAACCGTCCATCAACAAAGGTTTTGGCAAACCTGAGCCAAGTATGTCAGTCCTCTGACTTACTCAAATGATCTAGGTGTTCAACATCCACTCACCCCATAAGCGCCCCAAATCCAGCTGCGTCTCCGGACTTTGGCAGCCCCAGATTGAGAGGCCAACTGTGCATAAGCGTAGCCAACCATGGCACGTTTCCCATAGTGATCATGACCGGAAAGAAGGCGTCTTTCGTGGCAACATACTGATACAGATCTCGATCTTCTTTCAGGAAGCCGTATGGGGTGCCGAAGCCAAGCTCGCTGATGACATCAAGGGCAAAGTAAGTTGATTTACTGGCCATGTCCATCGGTCTGAAGTCCTTTGCAGTGGAGATATACTTGCGGTCGATGAGGTCAACGAACGCGGTGATACTCTTATCTATGCCGGCTTCAAAGCCTCCGTTCTCCAAACCCGAATACTGCGATTTCCAGTCAGCAAAGAGATTCTGACACACGCTGAGTACAGCGAAACTTACACCAGGCCCCATTTTGCTCTTCAAATACTTGCGCTTTTCTTCATCGCGCATCGAGAACAAATGATCCTCTCCCGGAGTGGTTCTTCCGACTGCATACCACTCGCCCTTGGTGTACTTACTGCGAGTGCCGGCGATCTTTTTCAACGTGTCTCCATCGCTGAACATGACGGTATTGGGACCGATACGAACCAAGGGGCCTTGACTTTTGGGTCAGCTTACCCGCCGCATCGGGCATGAGATGTGGAAATGCTCCTACCGTATTTCTCATGCAGTTCCATATAGTACTCATGAACCGACCCATTTAATGCAGCTCGCGCCATCGAAAACCCAGTGATTCCATGCCAGAACGGCCCAGGGACATGGGACAGCCGATACCAAGTGTAGAATTCTTTCGCCAGCAGCCCCAAGAAGACTACGACGGCGAGTATTAGAACAACAGCCATCTTTTCGGTCGTGATATCCTCAAAAACTCGATGGATTTGATGGCTATTGTAGATGTTGAAGAGTCAAAGTGAGGTTCTCTGGCAATGGAAAACGGCGGAGGGGTTGGAGTCTCAGCTGCTAGTTGAGAGCTACCTTAGTGCCATGTGCCAGCCATGCAGACGCCGCTTTCGGTGTAACCCCACGTCTCCAAAGCTTCAGGTCGTCACATTTCGCTTCTGAGCCGCTCAAGTGACACCTCATTTAAGACGCCTCGCTGACTAAAATGAGACCTACCCGCCAGCCCAGGCCAAAAGAGGTAAAGCTGAACAAGATAAGATGGGATTTCCTCCCCTCGAAAACCGCCAGAGGAACCTCGACTGAACATCAGCTGACGCTTCTGAGTGTGCGCGCTTATCAGTCCTCCAGCCAAGCCAGGTCTTAAGAATTCCTTCGATACTGCAATCATGAGACCTGGTTCGACTAAGTTAGGTTGAGGATAAGATTCGAAAGTCCTGAGATAAGGCCCTCACAACAAATTGCAACAACAACATCAAGGGAGGAATCTGGCATCAGTGCATCAATGCCTGCCGCCGACAAGGGCCAGAAAATCGATACAGGGCTGGTTCGCCGCATTATCAACAGAAAGTTGAGTTATGAGTTTTCAGTCGAGATTTATTGCAGTTATAGTCAAGCTACCGCCAACACGTCCCTTTGGCCCAGCGACCCGAAAATTCCATATTAACCTCTCGATACACACCGATATATAATCGCCGTCCCCACTCAGGCATTTCATCCTGATGATTTCACACACAACCCCAACCTCGACCCGAAGCTCACCGACCTTGGTCTCCTGTGCGCGCGCGAGCCTAGTATAGGCCAACGAGGATGTCACCTCGGACCCGAGCCGTGAGGTGAACCTCGGCTTCAAGGTCAAGCTTGATACCGACCATGAGGCCGGCGTCCTTGAGCTTGCCGTTGTCGTCAACGGGACCTTTGAGGAGGTTTCCTGCCGAAGTGTCGTATCAGTCTTTTGTTCATGGGCTATGGGAAGAGTGTGAGACAGTAGAGGGGAAAACCTTACCGATGGGTCCGTTGGCGGGGCCGGAGAGACCGGGCATGGGGAGAGAGTTACCGAAGCCGCTGTTCTGGTTGTTGGTGTTGTTGTTGATGGACTTGGTGTTGTTAGTGTTGTTGAGAGACGAGTTGGGGTTGCTGGTGCTGAGAGAGTTGTTAGGGTAGCTGCTGTTGCTCGTGCTCGAGTTGAGGGGGTTGCTGGAGCTGGTGGTAGTGGTAGACGGGTTAGAGGTGGTGGTGCTGGTCGGGGGAACCGAGTTCTTGGTTCTAAAAGGGGAGCAAAATTCAATTGGTCGTGGATTCGGACCTGTTGGGCTGTTGGTCATACTTACGGGGAAGACATGGTTGCGGTGGTGGTTGACCGGGGACGTGGAGGGGGTAATAGAGGTGGAGTGGATGGACGAGGGGTTGAAGGTCGAGGAGACGAAGGTCTAGGAGACGACGGGCGGGAGGGCTGTGAGAGCGAAGATGGCGGACGGGGCGAGGCCGGACGATCAGGAGATGACGGTCGTGAAGAAGACGGCGATCCTAGGCTTCGTACGTGGATGAACTTGAGCGATGGTCTCTGGCGAAGCTCAGGCTTTTCAGGCAGTGGCTGCTGGTCCGGCGGAATCTTGTCGAGAGACTGCTCGGAAGGAGATCTTTTGCGAAAGTGCCTGGAGGCCGAGGTGCTATGAGACTGAGGAATCTTGGTGCTGCCGAGGAAGAAGACGGCCATGACAGCTGGGCATCTGCTTCCTCTTTTATCCTCTGCTCGACGGCCATGAAGTGAGACATTGTCGCACAAGACTAATATGAGTATTGGAGAACATCATCCAATTTTCCTTTCGTCCGGACGTCGCCGTCGTACGCTGCTGTAGCCCTGCTGCTGTCGCCGCCGCTTGGGGGATTCTCGACAAGGATGCCATAGGAACCTGGCGGTGGAGATTTCTGCAATGGAGAGACAGCTCATTGACTCTCTGTCCGACGGGATATTTCCCGCGCAGCTCCCAACAAAAGAAAGCATATCTTCGCTTTTAGGGGTGATGCCTGCTGATCGGTGAGCTTTCCATTCCAGGGAAAAGGCTTGAGCGGAATACATCGGGAGCAAAGTTCTGCCAGACACTGGCATAAATCCATCCTCCGTTGGGCTGCAATGCCACCCTTTTCCTACCTATCGAATACACAACAGAGACATCACCTAGACGATTGGAGAGAAAAAATGGTAGCACAATTTATCGTCGCCTTCTCGGCGGTCTTCGGCATGGCGGAAGCTATCCGACACACACAACAGTCAGCCAGGAGGAAAGAACACCGCAGCCGGAAGAATAACCTCATCATACGTTGCCGCAAGTCAACTTGTCACTCCCCAGATATCCACGGGAAACATGTAGTCCTCTCAGGAGACAAGGTATCTCAGGTTACAGTCACACCAGTCTCGTTCCCTTGAGTCCCGAACTAGATTTGCTAATGAAAGCTGCTTGCTCTCTTTCTTAGCTATTTGTCGACACCGGGACTGATCCCGATTCTGCATTTGGACACCAATTTGCGGGCTACTTCCTGCCGTACCCAGACAGCCAATACGCCGGTCTGGTCTCAACTATTTGCGACGAGCCGCCCATCATGAACTGGATCTACGTGGATCGTGACACGTACGAGGTCAAGTTCGGGACCCGGCCGTACGCCCAGCACAACTACACGGGCCCGTTCGATTGCACTAGGCAAGACAAGCGACTCACCTTCGCCAGTTGGGAAGGATTCTGCGTCGTGAAAACAGGGAACTTTTGGTCTCTCTACTTTGACGTCGAGCAGGATGGGCTCAAGTCAAAGCTTCCTGAGGGCGTGACTACCCTTGAGGTGGATCTCTTGCGCGTCGAGGTGCCTGTTAAGCCGGTCAAGCCTGAGGAACAGGAGCAGACTGACGGCAAAGAGAGCAAAGAGAACGGTGGTAGTGACAGCAGCAACAATAACGACAGCGGTACCAGCCCGCAAACGGGTGCAAATGAGGTGGAGTTGGAGTCTCCCGAGGTTGACTGATGTGTGGAGATACCGGGGGGCGAGAGCAACAAGGGAAGGCCGTTCATTGCTTTGAGGGAATCTTCCGAAGTAGAACAATCAACGTGTTGTTCAGAACAGCTTCATGAATGGAGAAACAATTCCATGTCATTAATCCCAGCTATTGCCTTGCCAAGTCTGAAAAGTGTGGTCCATCGGACGATTCCCGCTCCCGATTCGCAAGGATCCATGTATCACATCTTTTCCACAGCGAAGAAAACCACGATTTTCAATGGCAAAAGGGGGAAGTCCCAGCCGCCCCAACCCCGGATTCCAAGTAGGTACCTCTCTTGAGCCTTGCCCCATGGGTATTTCACTCAAACTTGCAGTTGGCCGCCCTGCCACGGTGAGATATCGCATCCTTCGTCGAGACTGGATTTACGACCCGGGCGCGGTCTGCGAATGAACAGGGGTCATGCAGATCTCCCGCTGCTGGCCTTTGCTCGACTCCATAACCCGCGAGCTGAAGTCGGGACGAAGCAGTCCCTGCGGTCAGGCCTTATCCCAGCACCGATCCTGGAGCCGTCATCGTAAATCTGAGCTTGACTTCCGGCTTTTACCTATACGACACGCACATCAAAGCTGGTCTCCATACCCTACCTTACGGGCACCTCACATCGCGGCGTTGTGGAAAGTTCTTTCGTCCTCATCTTGCCGAGATGATACCCGCCCTATTGTCCGTTGTCCCTGAGACATTAATGGCGCCAGCCCTGCTGCATGGCGTGACTTTGAAGGTTTGTGCCCACCTTTTCCCGGTTCCGCTGCGAGTGCGGCCGACGGCTGAGGCTCGAGAAAAGCAATGCCGCGGCGCTTAGTCCTTACAATGGGGGACCCGCATTGTAATATCGTGCCAGCTAACCGGAATTTGAACTCGCTGTAGAAGTCACGCCACATTCGAGGTTGATGATTTTAATTTTATAATCTTTGGGCGGTCAAACTGAACTCGGGGTTTCCTAATCCACTCATTCATCTTGTATTTGCAATTCACCGGACCCTTTCCTTTTGTTTTTGTTATTCAAGTCCTTCATACTCCGTGCAAAATCACAACTCTTCGCCTTGCTGCTTGCAAGATGATCTGATCTGACAAATGCACGTCCGAAGAGAATGAATCAGTCTCCTCGCAAAACCCAGCAAATCAACGTTGAACAGTCGCAAGCCTGGTGTGTTGACAGATACCCACCTAGATCGTTACCCCACACCCAGCCTCACCCGCACTACCTGGCGGGATCAACCTCGCGCATGCCGGGTCCCTACGGCGGTGGAAGCTCGTGGGAAGTATTCTTAGCGGGACCAAGACTCATGACCCAAAATCCAGGAGCAGGAGAGGAAAACAGAGAGCGGGGTGAGACCTCTACCCGGGCCGGTCCAATGTTTCCAAGCCTGAGACCGGGCTGTGGTCTTTGCATTTCGCAGAGGCAAAGGAGTGGACTTGCCGCTGCGCTAAGAGGTGCTACTATTGTTCTTGTACGACTGAGAGCGCCATTGGGAAACCACGACGGACCTCTCAACTCCCTTTGCAAAACTCTGCAAAATTTCATGTCTTCACAACAGCCCATTATGCCAGACAGAGCCGTCAAACCCAGACTTTAGTCTTTGTCCGGTGCTCAATCTCCTCCGTGCCAGACTCCGCTGGATTGAGCCGGCTCCTCCCGGCCCTCAAGCCCGGCGCCGCCGAGAGGCCCCAAGATCCACTTCTCGGGATGTTGTGCAGAAACTCTAACCCGTTTCTTAGGGCTCCTTACCTAGCATCCCGGAAAACATCTTGACTATGCATCCACCTGCAACGTGCGTAAGCCGTGAAAGCTTCGACCCTGCCAGAAGCCTTTGGGTTCAGAGAGTTTCGGGGCTTGGCGGCTCAGACATTAGGAAGCATTGCAGTGTCCACACCGGAGCCCGGCGAGATCCAGCCACACGACAAACTCCCAGCAAGGCCCAGCCTTGTCTAGATCTTTCGCTTCCCGCCTCGTCGGACTCGCTGGCCTCGCCGTCTCAGCCGAGTGACTCGCAAGGCCGTGGGAAATAAGACGAGTACGCTGGGCCGACATCACCCGAGCGGCGAGCTGGAGGAGGGCCCGCTATTTGATCCTGCAGCCTGCCGCAGTGGCCTGATTCCCCGAGGCTTCGTGGCCCTTGGCAAATGGTATATCCTGGTTGTGTCTCGAGCTTCGAAGCCTCGAACTTGGATTCTTGCCAAGACTTCGTAAATACCATCCAGAGTATGATTGGCATTGGGCTTTCTCCAACAGGCAGCTAGGTGAGACGCGTACGTGCTGTTGTACTTGCCTCGTAGATGCAAGTCATCATCGGTTCCGTTCTCACTGTTCACATTCTAAAGGGGCCACTAAAGGATTATGTGATCATGCTCGGACAGAGTCAAGGCTCCCCTGAACCTCCCTTGTTTGCTTGCTCCTTTCTGCTGGTTATATCCCAGCAAAACTTGGAGGGAAACGGGTGCGCCAACCGCGCGTAGCGGGCTCACAGCCCTATCTACAACGTTCTCCTTCTAAAGGGGCGGGACTCTCGCCGATCACTTTCGGGAAATTGACATGCTCCCACATGAGCATGATCTGATCTCGGGTAAGTACATTAGACACTCGCCCTCATCGGCCCAACAGCTATGGAATTCCAATGACGAGACCACAGGTGCATATTCTCGTCAATTTCCAATGTGTCAATGGCGCACCTGCAGTTCGGATAACTGTCGATCAAACAGAGATCGTCTCCCGCGGCAAGGAATTCGGCAGTGACTACTCTCTCAATTCTCATGGTAAATTGTAAAATGATGTGAGTTTCCGCAGGGGGTGAATACATGCATATGGCAATGTCTTGATTGGGTGGCCATCAAGGTTGCCTTCACGGCGTAAGGGGTTCTCTCGAGGGGAGTCAGAATGTGGTGCAACAGTCATGAGCAGAACCGTTGTGGAAGAATAAGGGTCAAAGTGGACTAAGATCACTCTTGAAGAAGACTAGAAGGTAGTAGGTATCAATATTATATTTCAGGAAAAGGCTGCATTCGTTTGCCGTGCAGCACGGAGACCGTGGTCCTCTATAGGTAATTACATAAGAATAGACATTAAACCCTTTGCTCAATCGTGATTTATGTCGACTTGAAAGAAACCGTCGCGTTGGACTTTTGCAACTTCTCGAGCTCATCCTTGAGGATGTACAAGCTCAGTCTCACACCGGCACCGCAGTACTCGGTACTGTTACCAGGACACTTGAAAGAGCAGTCCTTGGCCGTCACGTTGGCCGAGGGGGTGGTGCCACCTCCGCCACCGATGTTGAGGGCGTCGCCGCACCAGCACTCACGACCGTACTCGACACCAGCGTAGTTCTTGTTGTAGCAGGCGCTCAGACACATGCTGATCGTCATGTTGTCGCGGTTGATGATCTGGGCCGGGAGGAGACGGCCGACTTGCGGCTCGGAGAAGCAACCGTAGTAGGTAAAGTTTTCATTGCCGGTGGAGATGACTGGTCCGGTCGGGGTGGGGGTCGCGGAGGAGGAGGTCGATGTCTTGGTTGACGATGTGGAAGTGAAAGGAACCGAAGAGGTGGCTGTGGCCGATGAAGTAGCTGATTTGACAGACGAGGTGGCCAAGAGGCTGGTGGCAGAAAGAGTGGATGAGGTGGCTGAAGCCTTAGCAGTCGCCGGGATGGACGAGTTGCTTGCTGAAAGAGTGGATG